ATTTCACTCCTGCATGCCTGAGCAATATTTTTATACTCCTCCCTGATCATTTGTCCAATCTTCCACTTCTTGTAAGCTTATAGAAAGAGACCTTCTAAAAACGTTAAAATGTATTACTGGCACGCGAAACCTTAAATCAGAGTGGATAAATGAAGACTCGGCACACCACTGCTGAAAGGTTGCTGACCCCTGATCTAGTATGACCTCCTGTACAACACAGCCCAGCGAACTGCCCCCAAATCATTCCTAGGGCAGATCTTTTAAAAAAATCCAGGCTTGATTTCAAAATTGTCAGTGACAGAGAATCCACCATGACTCTGAGTCAGTTGTTCCAAGGGTTAATTAATTTCACTGTTAAAAATGTACCCTTATTTCCAGGCTGAATTTGGCTAGCATCCACTTCCAACCTTCCTAAAATCTCTTCCTGTATTCCTTCCTGTAATCCTTCAGATTCCCAAGTTAGCCAAGGTTTTGCATGACTACGCTTCCCATCTGCCTGCTCCTGAGGCAATGCTGAGATAGTAGGAGGTGGACTGGAAAGCACACAGCTGCTCCACTAAGCTAGATGACTTCAACTATAGGAGCAGGCTAAAACCAGATACCCCCACTGCTCATACTGCAGGATAAAGAGTGACAACACACCCAGCCAATTAACCACAAGAGCGGAGCATGACATCATCAGAACCAATAATCATTGGCTGATTGGTGAGGCTGTTTGTGTTGCTGGCCTCATGAAGGGTTTTGCTTTGTTATTTTAAGTGCCATCTGAGTTCAATTTTTCCTCACAAAAAGAGCAAACAGGTAGTGGGACTTTACCTACCGGTAGTAGTCAGCAGTGCAAGGTGTGTGCAAAGTGCTAGCAAATCAGAATGGTAGCATTTCACACCCACTTTGCACCAGTGTGAACTGCACTGAGGTAATGGGGAGACTGGCCCTTTGGTGTTTGTTTGTTTAGTTTACAGAGGCACAAAAGTGAAATCTCCAGGTGAGATCAGGGTGTGTGCATCTCCTGTGTGAGGCAACAGCCCTGAGACCAAAATGAACACTACCCAGGTCTCGTAAATATTTAAAGGCGCAGCATATGCAACACAGACAGTTCCCCATCTACGTGCACTTCTCAATGACCCAGTTCAACACTTTCCCCACATTTGGCTGCCCTGGTTATTTCTCACCCATATTTTTATCCATCACCATATT